TGGAAGCAGAGAGGACTCAGGCTACTCATCAGGATGTATAACTGACACCTGCAAGAGTCTGGAAGCTGCACTAGCCCTCACAGGGACAGCCTGCGGAGCAGAGTCAACCTCGAAGATAACCTGGTCAGAAGCGCCCCACCCCCTGGCCTGCTGTCCCTCACCACAGCAGGGGCAGGGGGCTTGTCTAGCTCTGTCAGACGGAGGAAGGAAAAGGAATATTCTAAAAATAGAAAAAAGGAAAAAAAAATTTTTAAATAATAAAAATAGAGCTTGGTAAGCACTTGCCATGTGCTAGGCACGGTTTCAAGTGCCTGCTTGATGGGTAACACCTCATGCAATCTCACAGAGGAGAAGGAGTCGGCATCTTCCCACCCGAGGTGAGTGGAGAAAAGCCCTTGGCCCTAGACCTCAAGGTTCTTTGAACTGGCAGGCAGTCAGCTCAGAGAACTCAGGAAGTGGTTTTCTAGTTTTACTGAATTACCTAGAATTTGGCCTTCTTAACCTCCCGCCCCACCCAGCACAACCTTCCTTCCTAATTGCACAACAGGCTCTCAGATGTTTGGAGGAGGGCAAGAGTAAGATTGTTATCAGAATAAATGCATCCTTGCTATGAAAAATGATTTTAGGATGCTTCTGTGGTTGAGGCAAAAGTCAGCTATAGTGGCTGGGACTTGGAGAGCAGGTGCCAAATCCAAGGTCAGCCAAGACACAATGGTCAACAGCCTCAGGGACTGAGCAGAAAACACAGGAGGGAGTGAGAACCATGAGAATGAGTGAGAGAGGGTGAGCTGACCAGGGCTGGAGTAGGAAACAGGGCTCAATACAGTCCCCCGGCAATGCCAGCACAAGCCCCTGCCACAGACAGCATGCTGGGACCCTCACAAGCCCCTCTGGAGGCACTCGTCTGCTTGAAACCTTCCAATCTTCCACCATGCAGCACGCCACAGGGCAGAACGTGGCGTTTCCTGCCCATTCTCAGCCCAGGGCACAGGCTGCAGTCCTGCCTCTGTAGGATTCCAAGGAGAGAAAGCTCTTTAGCCACAGTCCCAAGATCCCTCCTCATCACAACTCAGCCAAGAATAGAGGGAAAATGGAACCCATTATTCTCATTCTGAAGGGCTGGGAAATGGCTTTTGCTTTTCAACATGAAATGTGTCTAAAAATAAGCTGTGAATTTCAACCAGAGGTTGAAAATAGCTCCGGCACTGAACAGAGCTCTGTTCACAGTGGGCTCAAGGATGGCCTTCATTCCAAGAGCAAGCACTGAAGCCACAGCCACGGCAGGGGTCCAGGCCAGGGGCTGTCACAGGCTCACAGGGCCGCCCCTGCCATGGTCTGCCCCTCTGGCTTTAGACTGCCAAACTCTAACAGGCATGTGGTCCAGAATTCAAGATCTAGCACCTGGCCCAATGTGCTTCTAACATCCCCAAATGCCCAGGGGTGACTCATGTGGCATTTGAATCTGAGACCCAGAGTGTAAACAGGGCTGGGACGGGGGTGTGGGGGGGGGGGGGAGGCGGACATCAGGATCAAGAGCTGCCTGGCACAGCGGTGGTGCTCAAGGCTCCCTGGGAAGCTAAGCCACCAAATCCTAACCAGGCACTACACCTTAAGAGCCAGGGAAAGCCTGCAGGCAGGAAGGGCAAGAGCACATTTTAAGTGTAGTAAGGAAAATCAAACTGTTAAAGGTCTTTTTCTGTTGTTTACCATCACCCCTGGAGATTCCAAAGTTTGATAAGCCAAACATTTCTACAAAATGGGCTTGTGTTAGAAAGCCAGACTAAGAGAACTGGGCCACAGTTGCTTGGTTGGGGGAGAGCCCAGATCTGGCCTATCAAGCAGGATCAGAGGCTCCAGAGTTAGTGTCATCCCCAAGCTCCTCCCACCCCCACCCACCCCTGCGGCAGAAGCCCCTCTTCTTGACTCACTTCCAAGACAGGAGTTATTGAAGTGATTCTCAACCAGAAGCAGTGCTGCTCCCCAGGACACAGCTGGCAATGTTTGAAGACATTTCTGACTGTCTCAACTAGGGGTGGGGGGTGCTACCGGCAAGCCAGTGAGATGCTCCTAAACATCCTACAATGCACAGACAGCCCCCACAGTGAAGATTCATCTGGCAGCACCAAGGATCGACAGCACCAAGGCAGAGAACCCTCCGTTGCTGGAAGAATGCTATGTGGACAGAGTTAGAGGAGTGGGGACTCCCTGAGGAGCTGAGATACCCTGGTTGGCCACAGAATCAGTCACCAGCACTACCTCGGGGCCTGGGAAGCCCGTGGGCAAGAAAGGAAGACTACACTCATCAGCCCACCTCCCCACCTCAGGGGAAAACCTAGCCACTGAGCTGCACTATACCAACTAGCTCGCCTCAGTTTGGGAAGATGAAAAAATTCTGTGTATGGAGGTGGTGATTGTTGCCCAACAGTATGAATGCACTTAATGCCACTCAACTGTACACTTAAAAATAGGCACAATGGGGGCTTCCCTGGTGGCTCAGTGGTAAAGAATTTGCCTGTCAATGCAAGGAACACAGGTTTGATCCCTAGGTCTGGAAGGTCCCACATGCCCCACAACTACTGAGCCTGGGCTCTAAAGTCCAGGGGCCATAACTACTGAAGCCCGCAGGCCTACAGCCTATGCTACACAACAAGAGAAGGCACTGCAATGACAAGGCCGCACACTGCAACTACAGAAAGTCCTCCAGAAGCAACAAAGGCCCTATATAGCCATAGAAACGAAGAAATCTTAAAAAAAAAAAAGGCAAAATGGTCCACATGCCACAATGAAGACCAAAGATCCTGCATGCTTAAGATCCAGCACAGCCAAATAAATAAAAATATACTTTTTAAAAATAGGCAAAATGATGAATTTTCTGTTACAAATATAAAACAAAACAAACAACCTCCCCCCACCCCCCAGCTCTCCTCTTTGACCTGGGAGTCCTGAGATCAGAGCCACTCAAGTGTACATTGGTGGTATGCATGTGTGGACGTGGTAAGTCTGGAGGACCTACATGTCAACTCAAGAGTCTCAAAGGGGCCTGTGACAAATGAGCAAAAAAGCCTGAAACAAAGAATGACTTTAGGATTAAAATGTCAAGTCACTTTCTGGGTTAGCGAAGTCACCTACATCAGACGTGGGGTCCTGGAAGCCTGCCTGTGGGGGTGTTCAGGTCCCACTGTGGAAATGGAGGTTTGAGAAAAGTGGGTGTTTTACCTGGACCATGGAGCCGGGGTGTAGACCTTAGATCCCACACCCCTTTCCCGATTTGAGCCCCACAGGGTGTGATGCTCACTGGGCAGAAGGCGTGAAGCTAGTTCGGGAACAAACGTTCCTTCCGAGGCCTCTTAATGGTTCGGCCAGCCAGACCCTACCCTGCCTTGTCCTGCTGGCTTTCCCACCCCACACCCTCCATCCTAGATGACCAGGCCCTGCAACTATGGGCAGCAAGGGTGCCCAACACCCTGTCTCTGGCTCAGACTGAAGGGACATGGGGCAGCTAAGTTACTTTCCCAAAAGCTACCAGAAAAGGAGCATGGGGTTCTCCCCTTGCTGCTGATTACTAACCATTCCCAGGAGAGAGATGGCAGGCCCCTCTCCTGGGATGGGAAAGAGCTTCCAACCAGCCCTCTACCACCTCTACCACCAGCTTCTAGTTTAGTCAGCCCTGCTCAGGGGGACCAGCATGGTGGGCCCCCAGGTCTAGACACTGCGGCAGGCGACTAGGCCCCAGATGTCTCAACTGTGAACGAGAACAGTCACTCAGAGCACTCATCGTGACGAGGTCAGGAACACACAGGGCACTACACGTCAAGGCCTCAACAGGGCGTGGTTCACCATAAATACCCAACAGACGGGAAGCTGTAGGGGAGGTGGGCATGGACCTCAAGGGATCCCAACCCCACAGTCTGGAAAATGCTTTATAGGTGGAAGATGAAATAGCGGCAAGCAGACCACCGGGCAACCCAGCCACCACTCTCCCAACAAAACCAAAAGATGAGAACTGGACGCTCCTTAGCAAATGAGGAGGGAGAACAAAACCTCTGGGCCAAGGGCAACTCTTGGAAGAAAAGCTTTAAACCCCAAACTGGCGTGTTCCTAGAGGGAGTCCCTCTATGTCCTTGAGACATAGGACAGGGCATGGGTGGGGCAGGGCCCTCTGCTGGAGCCAAAGAAAGCCCTGGACTTAGAGGCTTCCTGGTTCTATTCTGGGCCAACCTTGACTCGCTGGGGGCCTTGGGCAAGCCGCTTCCTGTTGTTCAGGCCAGCCTCTGCGTGTGGGAGAGGCCACGCTGCCACTAAGGTCCAGGCAGGAGAGATTTAAGCAGCCTGCACCAGAGCTTACAATCCGCGCGGCTCCACCTCCTTGGTGTCACTGTTTATTTCAGCCAAAGCTAAAAATTACCTTCTTCAAAGAGTGACACCATATCAGCTATCTTTTTTACCCCAAATATTTGTCAAAAAAATATTGTTAACTACTGAGTGTTTTTAATTCAGGAACACTGGGTGCCCTTTTACCAACAAAGGCACTAAAAATGGTTTGTGGTGGAGGAACTTCCCTTCCATGGTTTAAAAAAAAAAGGAAGTGAGAACAGGGTTGGGGCCCTTCCCATTTGTCCTAGCTGTGGCTTCAGGCCCTGAACCCTCTAGGAATCTGACACTGCATCCGAGGCTCAGCACCAGAGAGGTCCTTCCTCTCCTCGAGCCTCAACCAGCCAGCAGCCCAAACCACAGGAACAATCCCCCAGCAGACGACGCGGGGCCTAGGCAGCCGGCAGTCTATGCTTGTTAGCGTCCTCACATCTTGTCTGTTCACTCCGGATTTGAAACAAAGCACCACAAGCACCTAAGAAGTTTCTGGTAAATCATGAAATCTTACCCGGGTCTCTTCCCTGGAACCTAAGCCTGCAGCGCCCCCACCGTCCCCGAGCCCAGTGCTGTTGACCATGACCCAGTCCACCAGCCACAGGGCTCAGGATAATGCCTGTCAGGCCACTTACCAGAGTCCCAGAGGAGCTGACCCGCGCGGCCGGGGGCCTCTGCACTCTTAGCACTTCTCCATAATCGACGACGTCAAAGTTACTCTTCCAAACCATCACCTGTCAAGACCAACAAGCATACAGAATCAGGAGGAGAAATACCCCTTACCTGTCCTTCTTCATGGAGAAAATGGGCCCAGAGGCTACCGCCAAAGTTCTGGGCCAGTGGTGAGACTATGGTCCCCATCTGGCACCCCACTCATCTCCAGACCTGCCCCACCTCCCTGGAGAGCCCCAAGAGGATCGGGTGCTCCATCAGGGTGGAGAGTCACCATCACCACTGGGCCCCGCATGGCTGCTCCCTGTGCCTGAGGCATCCCAGGCCCAGGCTCTGTATAGCGAGCATCTCAGGCTAAATGTCTGCCCTAACGCCACCTTCTCAGAGAGGCCTTCTCTGGCCCTCTTGCTAGTTTTGATCATAGCTCTCTATTTCCTTCAAGGCATCAGACTCAGTAGTTGTTTAAATCTCTGTCCGCTTTCCCTTGTTTATCACCTATCTCCCCACTAAAATAGAAGTTATTTACGGTGGCAGCCTGGCCAGCCTCACTGTGAGAAGTGGTTCAGATACAGACTCCAGGCCATACCACTAGGGTTAAGATCCTGGCTACACCCCTTATTACACGGCTCTAGGCAAGAGACTCATCTCTCTGTGCCCTGGTTTCCTCATCTGTGAAATGGGGATGAATGGTAGTCCCCACCTCACAGGGCTGCTATGAAACTCAGACACTGGCCCCAGGGAGAAGTCTGGCCCCAGAGAGAAGTGATTAACACATCCATTCTTCTACTTCCCACTGGAAGGATCTTCATGCCCTGAGGTTCCTCCTACAAAAGCTGGGTAAGAGTGCTCCCTGCTGGAGGGTGTCAGCTGCACTCCTCCAGGACCACTTCCAGGATGGTAGGAATTGTGAATCATGGCCAGTAGTCAACTGAGGCCACAGAAAAACTGCCGGATCCACAAGATGAAAACTCAGCATCCCCTGATGCTTCCCGCATCGGGATGCAGTCATAAGCCTGGTTCTGTGGGAAGCTGCTCACCACCCACAAAGCAGCACTGTTCACCATCCCCAGCTTATGGGGATCCAGGGTCTCTCATTGGTCCCCGTTACAAAAAGAATGTCCGCACTCACCCCCTTGTTTATAGGGGTGTGCACTGCACCACTCTAACTGTTGAATAATCCTGAGCAGAGGAATGGCTATCAGGAATGTGGAGAGAGAATGTCAAATGCCATTCCCAAAAGGCTCTCAGAGCACACAATAAGAAGGCAGCCAGGGAGCTGACAGCGGTGGCTGCCGAAGGAGGGCTCAGGGTGGGGGCCCTACTTCCTACCAGGGTGTCTCTTGTGACTTTATTTATGGTGTGGATTTATTAGTGTCCCTAGTCTTCTAAGCAATGAGCCAGGACTCCACACCCAAGGAAGGCTCGGGAGTCTGCCTTGTCTGGTAAGCACAGGAACTGGTGCTAGTGAGGGAAGACACATGCCATCTCGTAGCCCAGCTGTGCCTCCAACCACCCTCTGCTTTCCTGACAGACTGAACCAAAATCAGCTAGGGCTGGAGCTCACTGGGAGGCCAGCGGGACTGTCCTGGGTGAAGCCATCAGAGCTATCAGGCTGGGGAGCAGCAGGATGAACATTCTGGGCAACCTACCAGGTCACAGTAGCTCAGAGCAGCCACTCTTTCCTCCCCTCCTCAGGGAAGTACGGTTCTCTGGCCAAGCAGCACTACACCAGAACCCGGAGAAAGATTTCCAGTGGGAGGCCTACCAGGTCCCAGAGCCCAGGTACATGGTGACAAGGCAAGACAGGACCTCCTCACACATGTTCTCGCTCTGCAGTCGTGGAGCTGGAAAATGCTGTCCCTCAGACAGCACACGAGCAGGCTGGGGAGCAATGGCCGGCAGACAGTGGAGCGGAGCCTCCAGCCACGTCCTAGCTCAGACTCAGCTTCCTCACCCACAGAATGGCTGAAGAGAAGGCCCATCCCCCGGGGCTGCCCCGAGGACTCAGTGAGGGAGCACACTCTTGCCGTGTTGCCCACATTACCAGGTCCACAGTAAGCATCCAATAATTATCTAATTATTCACCTAGAATCAGGAAAAAGAAGTTCCTAAAAAACTCTGGGGACTTCCCCAGTGGTCTAGTGGTTAAGTATCCACACTTTCAATGCAGGAGGCACTGGAGTGATCCCTGGTCGACAAACTAGATCCCATATGCCTCATGGCCCAAAAAAAGCCAAAACAAAAAGTCTCTATTTTACCTTTCTCATGGCAACACTAACCCAGACTCCTTCCGGCCCACACTGGTTTGAGCATCAGGAGTTCTGAGATGCTGCCATGGGTCGGCGCCTGCAGCATATCTGCTCTGGGGAAGTAGGGCGCCACTCTGAGCACCCCACCCCAAGATCCAGCCTTTAAGGTTGCTGAAAGTGCCCAAGGAAGCTGGTGAAACCCAGCCCATCCATCCCCGGGGCACCTCGGCCCCCTGTCTGTTCTACTCAGTATCCGCTGGGACCCCTCGGACCATTCTTTACTTACTTGCTCATCCGAACCGCCAGAAGCAAAATACTCCCCCGTTCTTGAAAAGGCAACCGTGGTGGCTGGACCCTGTGAGAACAAGCCAAAAAGAACAAACACCTAAGGTCACTCTAGATCCTCAATGCACAGGAAGAGTGACAGTGCACATCATGAGTGACAGTGACAGCAGGACTCAGGGCTGAGCACCTCACCTAGCCCATGTTCTCCCCAACCTTGGGCGGAGGAACTGGCAGGCGCCAATGTATGAGCACGGCCACTGAGGCTCTGCTCCTAGACACCCCTGACAAAGGCCGGGCCAAGCGGTCAAGGGCCAGGATGAGCGAGACAGTCTGTGCTGACAGCCTTGCTAGGCCGACACCACTGTCTTCACCTTCCAAGGAGAAGACAGTGGTCAGAGAGGTGCACTGACTTACCCCAGGCCTAGCACTGGGGCCAGAACTTAGGTCCCTTTGACCAGACCATGCCCTACCTCGTGTCCCTCTAATGGGTACGTCACTTTTCTCATGCTGGGGCCCTGGGAGGAGACCTGACTCTCTGGCTTCTCAGATGCTGAAGGGCCACACAACTGTCCAAAGGATGATGCCAGGCCTATGCCCGGCCACGCCCTGAGGGCCAGTGAGCACATCCAGGCTTGGGGCAGGGGACATGATCTCCCGTAAAGAGCGAGGACTCTTCCTCAAACTCCTGAAACCCACGGCAGAAAGACACACAGCAAGAGTTGGCTAAGTACACCATGACAAACCATCGCTTCCTTTTGGCCAAACTTTAGTGTGGTTCTATCTGGCATTCCCCAAGCAAAGCCAGATAAAGGAGGTTCTCTCCTAGAGGATGATAGTGCAGCCGCTGTCTACGGCCACCTCAGCTCCTCTAGAGCAGCACAGGGAGCAACAGGAACCCCTGCTGCCCATAGGAGGGGCCTCTGTCAGCGGGGCTGACACAGCGGTGTTGTCCACACGCCTATGGACAACAGGAACACTGGGAAGCACTTCCACTCGGTGCCAGAAAGACCAGACAGGTTGTAGGCAGGAAAGGGACCTGAGGTCACGGAGCAAGGGCAGCTTCAGGCTGCCCAGAAGAGAAGGCAGGTTAGACAGAGCTGCAGGAGAATGCACATCTGCCTATGTCTCTGGAATCTACCCACAGTTCCTCTTCCCTGAGCTGCCCATAAAGCTGGGTGATGAAGAAGCAGTACAAGGCTGGCTAACACCAGGTGCTCAGGTTGCCTGGAGCACTTCACTTGCACTGACGCACTTAATCCTCAGACGCGGTCTGTATGTTTACCCTTCTGAAGGGTGACATGTCCAAGAGGGGAGGACAGGGCTGAGGGTCAGGGATGAAGCCTCCAGTCATGTCTCTCACTGCCTTCCTGTGCAGGTGGGGCCCCAGGGGCTGGGGTCACAGAACCCAGGAGTCCTGGGCAGCCATCTATCAGGACAAAGGAGACCCACTCTCCCTGACGGGAAACAATGTCCACTTGCATGGGTGAGAATACAACACCAGGAGCGGAGCACCATGGCTGCAGGTGCAGGGTCTGGGTGCAGGGTGGGAGCAGGTCGTGTATCGCCCAGATAGCCTTCCAGGAGGACAGTCACCACAGGCTGACAGGACTTAAGGGGGGGCAATTTCAGGTGACAAGTTTACTTGAGTGTTAGAAATCTCTTAACTGCCCCATACTTTCAATATTTTAGAGTATATAGCTACACAACATGAATACAAAGATAAAACGATAAAACTGTTTTTTCATTTTGAGGAAAAACAAAAAGGAAAGAGAAAAGGCAAGGAAAATAGTACAGAGTGTGTCAAAAAGCCGGGCTCTCTGCTTGCCCAGAGCTCGCTGGGGAAGGGCAGGTTTCTAAGAAGTCACAGCAACTAAGGAACCAAACAAATACTCGTGGGTCAGTCTCCTTTCCTGTTGTCACTCAACACCAGATGCCAGGTTGGGGACAAGATGCTGGAGGCCAAGCAGCAGCAGGACCGCTGAAGAATGTGGCCAGCAGCCCAGTCTGGCAGGGGCATCAGGTCCATAGAGCAAGTGCTGGGAGTCCACCAGGCAAGAAGAGCTAGAGCCATCCCCAGGGTCCAGGTCCCAGAAAATGCCAGGGAGGGTGCAAGTGACAAGGGTGCTCTGAGGACCCCTCAGGGTGGAGGCCCACGGTCCTCCCCAACGGTGCCCATTTACCAAGAGGACAGCATGGCTCCTACGCCAGGTCCCTCGGTGTTCCTTCCACAAAGGCTCCTACCCATCCACCCAGGGTGCACAAAACAGTCCAGGGCACTTGAAGCACAGCCCAGAGGACGGCTGTCCCTGGGCTCTGCTGTGGGCCAAAGTCATCATGGACTGCAACGCAGATGCAAAGCTCTCCACTGCTGACGATCCTCACGCCAAGCCTCAGTGGGCCTTTGGGGACCCAGACTACCCAAATCTTTCTTGGTTTTCAGTAAATTCACTTTAGGCTAGAAATTTGCCTCTGACTGCCACTGAGCACGAACCACCTTAGATCTTAGATCCCCAAAGCTTCCACTATGCAGTATTTTCCTGTCTTTCATTTCCCAGTGCCCCATTTCACTGGGACTCTCTGAAGCCCAGCAGTTATTGAGGAGTGCATTCCAGTTTCCAAACCCTGGGGGCTGGGGAGTCTGTCTCACCCCCGGCAGGGACCCGGTATGATGTGTGTTCTCTGAGACTGTCCTCCCTTCACTCCTGATACATTCATTTACCGGCTCAGGGCAGGCATGTTGCCAAGTTGTTTCTTCCCAGGGCCTCTCGGTGCTTCCTGAGCGGTACTCTGAGCAGCAGCTCTAGCTGGGGCCCCAGCAGTGTGGATCTAACCCGTCCCCCAGTCACTGGGGGTGCCCATCTGGGGGCCAGGTCCACTGGCAGGGATGCTGCATAGGCTCAATCAGCTCCTTCCCCATTCCCTCCCCAGATCTGGCCAGTTGGAGCCTTTTCTGAGATGATCACTGGGAGCACTGGATGCAGCCAGGTGCCCCACCTCCCTCTCCCCACTGACCTAGCCTCACGTGGCTCTCAAGCTTGGCTGGACTCACACTCAGTCATTTCACCATACATTGCCTCTGCCTGGACAACCTTTAGATCCAAGGGACCCCCACTGGCTGGTTCCTTCACACTCACACAGCAAAGCATTAATAGAGGGGGTGGGGAGGCAAAACAAAGGATGCTGTAGTGTTTAGATCCCACAGCTCTGACGACCCTCACCCCACAGCCCCTACAGCTTGTCCAGACCTCTCCGCTCTCCTCACCTCTTCCAGCCTGAGGCCCTGCACGCCTGAACCCTGGCTACTGTGTCCACAACAGTTATAGTGGCAAAGGCCCAGCCAGGCACCCCCATTACCACTACCCAAGTGTTTTGATGTTTTTCATTGGCTTCCAGCAAACACAATGGAACGTCACTCCACATGCCCCATGTCAGAGACAGAAGTGTGGCCCTCAAACACACACACATGGAGATCAAGGAGGCCTCTGGCATGGGTGCTTGACTCTGACCCCTGTGCTCAGAAAGAGATACCATAACCCAGCCCACCAGACTGTGTCTTCCACAAAACCCCGAAAGAGAGGCTCTGCACGAGCTCACTCAACCTGCTGTGGCCTGGTGGATGTCCCTTTAGGGAGCCCCATGGACAAGGAACAGCCCCCTAGCTCCTAGGCTGCTCCTGACCTTAGCCAAGGATACCTGTTCCCAGCGCTTAACCTGGGCTGCCAGCAGGGAACAGAGGATCAAGCTGAGTTACTGGTAACTTCAGCTGGAGCACATGAACGATTTTCCTCCCTCTTATGTTCCCTCACCTCTTGCAGGAGGGCCCAGCCATCCAAGCCAGATCTAAGCCTCTCAAGCAGCAAAGCGAGTCCCCTAAATTAACCGACTACCTAAGAGCTGCAGGGCGCAAAGAAACGAGGCAGGAGGGGCCTGTTCTGAGAATTTCCTTCCACCTGGGGCAGCCGGGGGGTGGCCCACGTGCACAGGCACTCTGTCCTGCTGCCATGTCTCCCCCTGGAAGGTGGGCCCCCCCTTAATGCCACTTCCCCAGCTCCAGCCCAGGCCCCAGCAAGGCAGAAGCTGCCAGTAGCATCAGCTGACCCATTCTCAGAGCCTGTGATTTCTTAGCAACTGAGCTGAGCCCCTGGCACAGACAGACAGCTGTCCCAGAGTCTGGGGTTCTGGGCCCTGGGTGATGGGTACTTGCCCCACCGAGGGTTGCTGTGGTGTGGGGAACCACGGGCCTGCTGGTCCCTGTGTGGTTTCAACACTCCACAGAGACATGAACTCCAACTGCACAGCCACAAGCACCAGATTTAACTCCCCACCCACGCCCCACCTACCATCCTCTCCCAAATAGCTCTGGGGACGAAAACCAAATGAGCATGGCTGGAGATTATGTTTCGGAAAATACAGAAAAATAAATCTTCAGACACCCAGTGCAATCAGATACCAGGCTGTCCTCCAGGGGTGAGGCCCTGGAAGAGACCCAATTAAAGGGCCAGGCAAGTAGACCTAGAGACCAAAACAGCAATAGGCCAAACCACTCAGGTTAGCTGGTAGGACAAGGACTTCTGGGTCAGGGAATCACTGTACCCCACACACTGGGGAATGGATTTTAGGAGCTGTGGACAAAAGTCAAGTCAGAGTGAGAAGACGTTATGGAGCGGATGATAACAACCCTAAGCAAAGGAAGAAGCCAGACAAACCCTACAGAGATTCTGGGGGTGAGCGGGAGGGGAAATGGACATGCCCCATCCCAGACAGAAAAGGACTGATGGCCATGGCCCTGACCCACCCATCACAGGGGTTGTCATCAGAGCCCGCTACCATGTACTCAGTTTCCTAACAAACACTGTCTACCCATGGTGCCAGGACCATGCCCATAACAGAAACTGTAAACTGCCTGTTAAAGAGCTCTCACCTAGGGACTTCCCTGGTGGTCCAGTGGCTAAGACTTGCACTCCCAATACAGGGGGCCTGGATTCCATTCCTGGTCAGGGAACTAGATCCCACATGCCACAACTAAAGATCCCAAGTGTCACAACTAAGACCAACCACAGCAAAATAAACATTTTAGAAAAAAGAGCTCTCACCTAGAACAGCACAGGGTCATTTTCCAAGAGCTGCACAGAAAAGGGACTGACCCCTGTGAGGACCTACTGTATCTGGTGCTGAGCAACACAGACATCCTCTCCCATTATGACAGGTACAGGCATCATTCTTACAGAGGAGGAAAGGCTGGCAAAGGCAAGGTCTTGACCACTGTCAAAGGGTAAGAGATGGTGCCAGAATGGTTTGATCCCAACACCCAAGCCCTTTCCTCCCTTTTGTGGCCCCCCAAAACTCATGCTTTTCTGGCTAAACAAGATGAGAGAGTGTCCAGCATCTTTTCTAAACCAGAAACAGATGGGTATAAGCTGGAAATACTCAGGTGGTTCCTTAGAAAGCTGGGCATCAGACAAGGCTGTGAACTTTCCCCAATAAAATACATCAGACATTTGGCCTCAGTCAAAGCAGCTGGCAAAGGTGACCGGGAGGGCTCCTTTCCACCAGATCACTGAGAGAGAAATCGTCCCAGTGTCCCCAGGGGAGAAGGTGGAGGAAGGAGGGCAGTGCCCCATACACAAGTTGGCAGTGCCTCCCCACTCTGTTCACTCTCCACCTGAATGGCAGACTCACATGGAGGCAGAGGGCTACCCCACCTCTCAGCCCCAAAAGGCTCCTTGAGCCCTGCCCTGGCAAAGGGACTGTCTGCTCAGCTGGAGTTTGCAGATCTGCTGCCCTCAAGCAGCAACAGCAACAGGGCTATCGAAAGGCCAGGGCCCACTTGGGCTGGAGACAGCAATGGGCCTGCCCAGTTCTCGGGCCTATTCCCCAAATCACTTGGGGACACTCACCTCAAAGAAGTCTATCAAGAGCCACACAAGCCCCAGTAGCAGCCAAGGAGCTGTTTCAGGGGTACAGTATGTGTGATGCAGCTCCCATGGGGCAGGAGCCTCGTTCAATCACCAGCTGCACCCTCTGAATGGCCCTTTGTGGCTCAGAATCTCAAAGTCGGGACTGCAGGGGGAAAGTCCCAGAATGCTTTAGGTTTACAACAAACTAGTAACTCATGTCCGCCCCCAGCCCCACAAGTCAGCCGGCCCCTCATGTGCCAATGGAAGTGTGGCCAGTCACACACCAGAGAACCAAACTGCCAGCAGGGTCAGACCCCTGGGGCACCAGCTGCCCTCGGTGCTGCACGCAGGCCTTGCCCAGGAGACCCAGGCCACCTCAGGTGATCATGATTGTAGCTTTGTGCTTGGCACATGGCTGTCCTGGTGGTCCTGTGCCTTCAGGAGACAGCAGATTTCTGGCCTCAACCCAGAGCAAGAGAGCTTCTGCCCAACAGCTGTGCCTCCCCGACCCTTCCTTCTCCACTCTGACCCTTCCTTGCTCTTCCCCCATTAGAGGTGGCTCAGGCCAGTCCCTGCACAGGACACAGAGACGCTTGCTTGGCACACACAGAGCCCCCTCTCTCAGTCAGAGTCAGGTTCACCCCAGCTCCAGCCCCCTGCGGCTGGCTTCTCTCAGCTGGCCTCTGACCCCTGGCCTGCACTGTACCTTCTCACAGGTGTGGAACTGGAGGCCCAAGGGGGTTGCTGCTCTACGGGGCAGAATAACTCAACAGCCCTCCCTCTAAAGCTCCCTTGGGGCTCTGCCTGAGGGCGATCACAAGGAAGTCCTCAAGTCCAAACCAAAACTTCAAGGGGATCCCTCTCCCACTGACCAGAATGCTGTCATCCAATGAGGCTGGAACACTAGAAGCCATAAGGACTGCTGGCCCCCTACACAGACCAGTGATCTATTACTAAAAACAAGAGTGAGACTACAACTCAACTTCTAACAGTCATACGTATGAGGTCAGCGGGTGTGGTGGAAACTGTAGATGTGGTTAATTGTCCCAGGTTCAACAACCCTAAGCCACCTAGACCATTCTCTAGGCCTCAATTCCCCCACCAGGACTCAAAGGTACTTTCAAATCTGCCAACTACTCCATGGGACAGAATTCCTGGGTATCCGGGGCCACTAGGGAGCCACGGGGCTGCTCAGCCGCAGGCTTTAGGAAGTGGCCAGTGACAGCTGTGCTGGGTGAGGCCCTCAGTCACCTCCCGGAACAGAATGTAGAAGCTCAAGTCGCCAAAGAGCGCAGCTGCACATCTACCTGGAAGGACAGGGCTGGGGGCACTTCACGAGGGGGTAGCCTCCGACCAGACGCTGCACGGAGCATGCAGGTAGAGCTGCACTCCTCAGCCACTGTACAGGCCCTCTCCCTGGGGCTTGGCCAGGGAGATAACATTCTCCAAAGGGGCAACACAGGTGTCCAAGAACTGATTCCTGGAGTGGAACCACTGTCCCGATAACACGTTATAGACCCTCACAGGTCAGGGGCATTTACAGAGCATACTGGCTCCCAGTGACAACACAGGTCTAACCTCCACACATCTGTCCCCTCGGTGAGAGAAAAGCCACTCCTGCCCCTAGCCCAGATGTCTATCTGCTCTAGGTATTCAGGTTGGCTGGCAGGCTGTTTTTAACAACTGCCCCAATCAAGGCTGCTCAACCACACTATCCTTTCTAAGGAAGGCACCCTTAACTGACTGTGAATCACCCTAAACACAAGACACTAGGGCCTGCAGCACACCAATGCTAAGTGTCTGTACCTGGTAGGGATTTTCAAGGGTCAAAACAGAAACAAATGTGAGCCTCACACTCCGATTCCCACTTTGATCTGAGCAGCACTCTGGGGGAGAAGCCCACTCTGCTTCACCTAACCCTTCAAGTACCACTCAAGACTCAACCTGCCTCTCCTCATTTCCTAATGCATCTCATGCCACCTCAGCTCTGCTGATGGCCCCAGGGAGTCCCCTGCTTGCCAGGCATGAGCCCCAGGGGATGGGACCACCGCATCCATTTCATACCCCTGATGCCCAGCCCAGCGAGCTGGGGAGCAGATGACAAATGGACAGCAAGACGAATAGGGGTGAGCTTGCTTCGCTTTCTTCCCCCTTCCTCTGGGCACTGCAAGCTTGGTGCCCTGAGGAAGAACTGATTCCTGGAGCCATTTCCCATTCTCTACACCCCAAACTACTAGCTGTCCTCAGCCTAGCTCCCACGTTCCAGGTTCAATGGCAGACAGGCACCCACATGACTTATCTTGGCCCCTGTCTTGCTTCTCCGAGAGAACAACATCCACAGGTTCCCCTGTGCGCTGATGCTGGGCCTGAGCTCAGGAATGCCCCTGTAGACGCTGCATTCAAGGCTTTTCAGGCTCAGAGGTGAGTCAGCTGTCTAAAGAACACTCACAAGAAAAAAAGAAAAGAACAGGCTGATCACCTGGTATGCACCTGTCTGCACAGTATTTCCGTGCATTTCTTTTCCTTCTTTCTCATCGGAACACAAAAGGTAGCAGCCTTTACGTGGTTTTCAAATGCCCTCCTGGTTATAAGATCCAAAACTGGTTATGCACGAATCTAAAGTAATCAGACTGCCAAAGGGCTAAGCAAGGTGATTCCCCCACAGGCTGACAACAAGAGCAGCAGTCACCTCAGCCCAGCGGCCACACATGACGCCTAGATGTGTTAACATTAGGGGAACAGGTCCGTGGTTCCTGCACACCAGACATGTCTCTGACAGACAAGGGATCACCATGGCTGATGGCAAGTGGCCTCCACGTCCCAAGGAAGCAGAAGAAAAGGCCTGTGCCCCCACAAGACCCAGCCAAGGCCCTATACACCCCAACTCAAGTGGCAGCGGGATCCAGAGGGCCCTGGGGTAGACACCTCACACCTAGCTGCTGGCCCAAGAGACATGAGCACCCCAGAGCCTCCCTCAGTCCTCAAGAGTGCCCCTATTCTCCATCCTGCCTGCGCCTGCTCACAAACAGAGATGTGGACAAATGGAAATACTATGGTCTCTGTCCCAACAGGAGACACTCTGCTGACCACTCTACTCAGCAGGAGACACTCAGCCACACCCAGGGTGGCTGCGGGGCAAAGCCTTAGGCAACCCACCTCCCACAGCCCACCACCAGGGCCCGTGCCCAGTCACTGCCCACACAGGGAGCCAAGGCACGGATGTGTTGCTAAAAGCGGCTCAGAGAAAAGGCCCCTCTCCTTGATTCAACTCTGGGAATTCCTCAGCAAATGTGTGGGAAGATTTCCCTCCTTCATGCCCACCTCTGCAAGGCACCTGTTGTTTCTGCCTCCAAAGGGCTCCAAGGAGGCTTGATGGCTGTTCATGGAATGGGTCCCAGGGCTCTCCTCAACCACGTCACCAAGGGAGGCTGGAGGTCACTTGGGACAGACTCCATTCAGCCCCTAGAGAAACCCTGCCAACCACGTCCAAACGCCTCCCTCCCCACCCCCATCCAACTGAACCCCTGTGCTCCTTCCTCAGCTGCTGCCCCAGGCCCAGCACTTCTGCAGAGGTCACAGCTCTCATGGGTAGAAAACCTCTTTCTGCACCTCACCCCACTGCCCAGGCTGTGGGGGGATGCAAAACACTCTAACACCCCCCCATCAGGCGCCAAGGGAAGGGTCACCTTGAGGCGGCACCTCCACCCCACTCCATGCCACCCCGCCCAGGCTGATGCCCTCACCTGATGGCCGTGGAGTGTGTAGAGCAGCCGGCCCTCCATGAGGTCCAGGATCTTCAGGGTTGAGTCGCTGGAGGCTGTGACCAGGTAGTTCCCCGATGGGTGGAAGGAGAGGGCGTTCACCGCTGCGCTGTGCACTGGGGGAAGGACGGCGGTCAGGTGCAGGCTGGGAGGCCCATGAAGCCAAAAGACAGCATGCGGGACCAAGGCTCCGCAGAGCGCTGGGCCAGGGCAGCAGTCACCCTGAGCTGCTGTGAGGAGCCTCACAAGGACTTTCCAGGAGGGCAGTATGAGTAAAGGACAGGAGGAGACCCACCCAGAGCCCAATGGCAGGCAGTGGGATCAAGCCATCCCTCTGCCTCTCCCTCCTCACCAAGCCATCAAGTTAGAGATGAACAGAGTGCTTGAACATAACCCTCACTCTGTCTCACACGCTGCCACTTCAGGGAAACCAAATGGAAAAGTAAACCCCTGAAATGCCAATACAACACCCCTGCCCTGAGGGAAAGAACGTGAGTGGGGTGGGTGAGAAGACAGCGAAGACAAGCTCTCGGGAGCCAGACAGGCCAGAGTTCTGATCCCAGCCTCCCGACTGGCCCACCCTGACATGCTGAGCTTGCTTCTCCTCCTGTGGGGAGGCTACCAGATGATGCCTAGGAGGCCTGTACAGAGCGAGCCTGATGCCCCCTCCACCACCCCAGGCATCCGACGCTACTCCAGGTCCTGCCACTTAACCCCCTTAACAGCTCAAGCCCCTCCGTGACTCTTCCCTACTACTCTAGCCCAAGCCCCACAATCCACGCTGCTGTCCCTCACACTCCAAGACCTGACCCCCAGCCCTGTCGGCTCCCTAGCTGGGGGACATTCCTACCCCTTGTTCCCCTTGAGCCGGGAAGACCCTTGCTGGCCTCTTCCCCTGACCCTGCAGCTCAATGTTCAGTTACTGCCCCAGGGAAGCCTCCCTAGACCTCGCCATCAGGGCCTTGTTTTGGCCTCCTGAAGCACCATGAGCCTCTTCAAAGCAAGGGTTTTGCATTTATGGGCAGTTATTTCATCCCCACTGGGTCCCCTAGAGACCATGTGCTCCACCTGGCAGGGGCTGTATTGGGTCCTTGACTCCCGGCTCAAGGCCTGACACCTAATGGGTCTCAAAAAGCAGTTGGTGAGTGGGATCCAGACAGGACCCAGATAGGACACACGGGGATGGGCAGTGCGTGGACCAGCCAGCCACATCTCAGCTTCTTAGAGCAGCTGCTGAGGAAGACCTGCTACCTCCATACCCACTACTACTGGCCTGGGGGCAGCAATCAGCAAGACTACAGTAACCATGAACCCACCAAGTCAGAACAGCCATAAATATAAAGGCAAATTCTAAAACCAACCCCTCATCCTGGCACGTAAGCACGCAGGAATCACTGCTGGGCCAATAAACACCCCACCATGAACTAGCCCTCCACAGAGCCGACAGAGGTGCACGGAACCCCTCAAACACCAGCCTGGCCAACATGCAGACGCTGGGGACTGTGGATTCACGTTCCTGAGCACACTTAGGGGAGACAGCCAGGACTTTACATAACACGATATTTAAGTCTGAACACTCTCAGCACCAGAACTCCAAAAGATGGCCTGGAGTGGGGCTGCCGGGATCCCGAGTCAGCTCCTGGAGCCAGAGTCCAGAGCCCCCACAGCCCAACACACTCCTACACCCAGGGTCAAAGGGAAAGGGGCAGCACCCTCAGTGTTTACCAAAAATAGGGGCATGGAGAGCAGAGGAAAAGTCATAGCAACCCCAGCTGAACTGAACAGGCACCAGCCACACACAGTAGCAGGAAGAACATGAATAGCGCATAGAGTATGACCAAGACCCCCACGTGTGGGGGGGAACATCGACATGTGCAGACCCAGAAGTGTGGATTGAAGCTCCTGACACAGAGCAGGACTTCTCTCTGAGGAGGACAGGAATAGGGGGACCTCTAATTGTTCATCTACATACTTCCAGAATGTATTTTTTCAGCATTAGACTATAGTCACTATGATGACACAATTGAGTTAATGTTTAAAACGTGAATCCTTCCTTCACCCTGAAAGAGTGTCAAGTCTGGGGAGCAGGAGACAGGGTCCTGCAGGCACCTCAGGGTGTGCGTGTCTAGGCTGCGAGCCAGTGCCCTGTTCCCGAGGGGCTGCGTTCACCAGAAAGCAGCTTCACACTAGCGGTGAAGTCAGGGGTCTTGGGGTGGGGGGGGCGGAGGCAAACACAGCCAGATCCCCTGAGCCCTCAGCCCCAGGGGAGGAGCGCCTGGAGGTGCCCCGTGACACCCTCATGGGGTGGTCTGAGCCCTCAGCCCCAGGGCAGACAGCGTGGAGAGTCAGCTGCACACCCCCCCCACCTCACCACACCCCCATCTCCTCTTGGGCCTCCTCAAAATGCTGCTCCTGGCACTCCTGCCTCCCTGAGCCCGGAGAAGGGCACACTATTCTTGTTTCTGCAGCCCCTGGCAGCCTGTGCTGGCATGAGTGCCACCCCCGCCCCGACCTGATACAAAGCTGGGAAAGCCAGCAGCAGGATGGGGCAGGGAGGCAAGCTCAGGGAGCACAGGGCTTGTCCAGCACCAGCCAGGTGCAGGGGCAGGGCGCAGCTACCATGCCAGGGCCTCCCACCTGGCCAAGGCCACCCAAGGGAGGGAACTACCCCTCCTCCCTGAGGAAGGGTGCCCGAAGCCTTGCTCCACAGTAAATGGCAGGAGTAGCAAAGGCCTCCCGGCTGGGGTAGAAATACCTGGAACCATTTACTGCAGAAGAGGGCTCAGCCTGGCAAGCCAGGCTTTTGGAGATGTTCCAGACCCCAGAACCAACCCCCCTTCCCCAATCGCTCAGCCGCCTCATCCCCCAGCCCTGTCAGCCTGAGGCAGATTCTCCGGCTCTGCAGAGGGTGGGACTGTGCCAGGGAGGCCTCTTAAAGAGTTAGCCCTGTACGACGGAGGCCCAGCTGCCCCACGAGGGGGTGAGCCTCCTGTCACAAAACCCTGAGCAGTGATGGCCCACAAACAATCCACTTTTCACCAAGCCCGAAGCTGCAGGCCCTCCGCCTGGCTCCACGGCAGACATGAGTGACGGCTGATGGCAGGCTGCCAATCAGGCACAGCTGTGGGCTACACTCCACCCCTCTCCCCCCACCACTACCCCAGAGAAGAGATGCAACTCAGGGTCAGAGATGTACCAGCTCGAGGTCCTACAGGTCACCAGGGTGCCAGGGAGTGGGCCTGAGGTCACTGCAGACCCTGCCCCCAGTACTGGAACAGGTCACAGCTTGTGGCCTAAGGAGACACCTGGGCATCCACAACCTGACTGCACAGCTCTTCCTGCTGAACCCTCAGCAAACCTGCCCCCCTGCTCAACGGGCTCCAAACTGGCCAAGGGACCCAGGTGCCCAAGCAGCAGGTCCCTTCCGGGGACAGGCCACACCAGTGCCAAGCCGCACCACATTCCCCACCCCACCAAGGGGCTCGGCACCTACCACCCAGGGTGGCTCTCACAACACAACTGGCATCACGAGTGACACAGAGGCTGTGGGCGTACAAGACCTATGGGTTCACACAGTGAAGGTGTTCTGATACCAGCAGCAAAGGACACTCTAAACACTGCTCTTCAGGAATGCTGTGTGAAGCTGGCTCAGGGAAGGTGGGGGAGAGGCAGTGAGTTGGCCAGATCAGGCGGGACAGTGCCAGGCCTCACGATCAACCCTTTCAGTCTCCAAAACCCAAAAAGGGTGCAGACCTGCCCTGCTGGCTACACAGGAGCTTTAAAACCTTCCATGACCATGTCTGGGGTAGGGCAGGGCATCCAGGGGGTTGCTAAGGACCAGTGTACATAGAAGCTGGAACTCTGAGCTCTAATGGAGCTTCTGGAGAGAGCCAAGTCCTCTCAGAGGCCTTGGGCAAGTAAATGACTGGAATCAACACAGTGTGAGGAATCCGCAGCTTCTTCGCTGTACAACCCAGGCAAGCCTCAAACACCCCATCTGTGAAATGGGAAGCAGCCCTGCCCTGCTGACCACCCAGGCATGTCCCTGGATATCGAACACACGTGCCTGGAAACCACAAAGCACATGAAGCGATCGGGGACAAGGCTGCTCAGATGTTTGAACAGTCTTAGTGTGGGCTCCGAGCATATGGCGCCTAAGCCACGTCCGTGGGGACTGGCACTCCCAGGGCTCCAGCACCCCACCAACTCCTTGCTGAATTGGGAAATCAGAACTGCTCCCCGCAGTGACAGGCCAGAGCAAGACACTCCTCGCCTGAGACAAAGGGTGCCAGCCACCTGCTGTCACCCAAAGTGATTCTAACACCCCAACAAGGGACGGGAAGTACCCTCCACAGAGCAGGATTTTGGTGGGTGGCCACAGGCAGCCTGGGCTTGCTGGCAACACACTGCAATATCACAAACCAATTTCTCGGAAAAGCACAACAGCCTTATGCACTCAAACCCCAATCAGGGGAGACACTGGATGTCACTGGCCTTAAAAACTTTCCCCTGGGTGTCTTAAGGGGTCAGAAAACAACTTAGGGGCCTGTTGCCAAGGGGCTGGGAGCCCTTCTTGGCGATTCAGCCTCCCAGGGATCCCCCCACCTCTTGTGGTAGGGTGGACAGCTGCTACTCAGGGGCTAGGAGCACCTCTCAGGTCGAAGGTGCTGCCACGGCACTCTCAAGGGGAGCGGCTGGACCTGAGCAGACCTGACCAGGTCCCCCGCCCAGCAAAAAAGGTGAGGGGTGGACCCTCAACCAAGGACTCAAGGTTTCCTTGAGCCCTGGAGGCTGAGCCCAGAGGTGGTGGGATAAGCCTGCTGCCTTGTGAATAGCTGCTGTGTGCCATGCACTGGGCAGGGAGTTCAGAGGGAATACAGCTGTTTGTGGGGTGCTTCAGACCCCTGAAGTCTCTGGTCCCTAAGGCGGGGGTGGTGCTTAGGAATCAAATGCTTCAGGCTTGCTGAGTGGCTGTCATGAGAGAAAAGGACAGCTGTACTAACATACGGAAATTCCCCTGCGGAGCCCATCAGCCTCATGCACCTCAGGCCCCCTCAGGACTCGACTTCTGGTGCCACCTGAGTCCACCCACCACCCCCCAGCCCTGCTAATCATGGACCTCCCACCCCCACCTGCTGCCAAGCCTGCTCCCTCAAGAACCCGAGGTACCTCTCCCCAGCACCCTCCACTCTCCTCCAGGCTGTGGGTCACCACACCCCTGACCACCCTCTTCAAGACACCCTGCTTTCCTCCACTCCCCCGGCTCCACTCTCCTTAGCCGTCCACTGCGGGGAGACCAGGCTCCCACCCGTCACTCTGGATGCTTTGTGGATCTTTTTCTTCCATGGCCCCTCAAGCTCAGAGATGCAGGATGTGTCCTCAGACCTTCTCACACCCCAGATCCCCAGGGCTCAGCTGGCCCCTCCACCCCATAGCATCAGCTTTGCCACTATGCAGTCTCCAGAACCCATCTTCTGGGCCTGACCCCTGCCTCACTCTCATGTCCAGCCTTCACCCAACATCGGGCATGGACAGCCCGCCCACCAGGCACATGGCTTCCCACTAAAGCAGGCTCTCAGCACTGCTATCCTCTCAGATGCCTGTCACCTCTTCACCCCATCCCAGCATGTCCAGCCAGGACATGGGCTACAGCATGGCACCCCAGGCCCTCCCCTGCAGGGACCTGTTGCTATACCTCGTCAACACCAGGCACCCGATCCATCAGATGTGTGCCTGGACTCTCCCAGGGTCACCTGGAGATTTTCCCCACCAATACAAAGATTTATGTGGTAAAACCACACACCCAGTACTAGACTGTAATCCTCATTTGGATTCTCCCATCAGATCCTCACAAATCCCATCAGGCAGGCTACCACCACCTCTTCACAGACGGGAAGCAGAGTCCAGACGCTACTCCGCCTCATCACTTCCCTGCCATCTCTCCCTGTCCAAGGCGCCCTGACCTCACACTCAGAGACAGCATTCCCGCCCAGCACCACTCTGCTCCTCCTACTTCCCCCATCAGTGTGCTGATGTACCCAGTTTCCAACTTGGGCCTGGCCCAAAGCAGGAGAAAGACCTCTAAGGCTGAAGGAGAGGAGAGGTGTGGTCTCCAAGGAGTGGGCAGACCCTGCTGGGGCTCTGTTCTAGAAGCTGCTGTCTGAAACAGCCATCAGTGACAAACCCCAGAGTTTCCTGTTGAAGCAAGAACCACTCTTGTGGCTGGCCCCTGCCACCTGGTGGTGGTGTGCAGTACTGCAGGCCTGGGCCAGCTGGGCCAGCCTTGCTAGGAAACCAGACCTGAGGACCCCAGGACAGACTCAGCAGCATCAGCATCACCAACACAACTTAGAGAGGTATTCTCTCAGTTCCTGTCACGGACCAACTCATCAAACTCCCAACACCACCTATGAAACACGGCTCATCATTGTCCCAGGGGTACACAGAGTCAAGTAACCTGCCCAAACTCACCAAGTGAGGAATGCTGAAGGTGTGTGAAGAGCCATTCTCAACCATGTGCTTTTCAAGACCAGGATCCACTCTCCCTTCTTGGAAGGTCTGTTTCTTTAGTCACCCCAAAAAATGTTAGCCTCAAACATCTAAGACTCAGACAGCTTGTTGGGGGTGCAAGGGGAGAACTCTGAACCCCACACCCCACAACTTTGTACAGATATGTCCTTCTCCACTTACTCCTTGGAAAGAAAGTTATGACCAACCTAGACAGCATATTAAAAAGCAGAGGCAAAAAAAGCAGGACCAACAAAGGTCTGTCTAGTCAAGGCTATGGTTTTTCCAGTGGTCATGTATGGATGTGAGAGCTGGACCATAAAGAAAGCTGAGCACCGAAGAATTGATGATTTTGAACTGTGGTATTGGAGAAGACTCTGGAGAGTCCCTTGGACTGCAAGGAGATCCAACAAGTCCATCCTAAAGGAGATCAGTCCTGGGTGTTCATTGGAAGGACTGATGTTGAAGCTGAAACTCTAATACTTTGGCCACCTGATGTGAAGAGCTGACTCATTTGAAAAGACCCTGATGCTGGGAAAGATTGAAGGCAGGAGGAGATGGGGATGACAGAGGATGAGATGGTTGGATGGCATCACCAACTCAATGGACATGAGTTTGGGTAAACTCTGGGAGTTGGTGATGGACAGGGAGGCCTCGCGTGCTGCGGTTCATGGGGCCACAAAGAGTCGGACACGACCGAGCGACTAAACTGAACTGAACTGTCCTTCCCATTTTCGGGTGTGAATTTTGTAAGTGAGCCTTGAAACTTAGTCCCAAGTCCACAACCACAGTTCTTCAAACTACTCTAGCTCTGACTCTCCCTGGTCTTGCCCCAAACCCCCAGGTCTATCCACCCATTCAGCCTCCAACAGAACTCCCAGCTCCTCCTGTGGCACCTCACCACCTCCCTTCCCAGGTCCCCATCCCCACAACTGTGGTGACTCACAGCTCTGCCCAGTCACACCTGCCCTGAGGCCAGTTCCATACCCCTGTAGCTTCAGCTATCTCATCTTGAGCTCACACAAGACTAACCCCACCCCCATCTCCCTCCTGGAGCCTGACACCAGCCCATATTGACAGCCCACCACCCTGCCTCCCAAGAGCTACAATTAAATAAGGAGACACAGCACCAGGGCTGTGTTTACAAGCCTGGTCCCTAACAAATGGACCCTCCAAACAGCTCCTGGCTCCACGTTTGTGGAGGACACCATGGAGCCAGAGGTGCCCGAGGTCCCACCAACACGGAGCTCTTCTGACAAACATGTCCCCTCACCACCTCTAGGGCTATCAGCCTGGCCCCAAAGCACGGAGCGTCTGTTACAGGGGGAGGCAAGTGGCATACGCAGCCCCAGAGAAGTGCCCCTCGAGAGGGGAGCCCCCATTTAGCCCTCAGTGTGCGTGAGGCTCTGCCACTTCACAAATGGCCACCAGAGGGCTGGTGGATGCCAGATAGTAACCCCTTCCATCCCCGAGCCAAGTTTCCAGACAGCCACGCCATAGACGACCCACCCCTGGAGATCCCAACAGACCCAGGGCTCCCTACAGCTAGCCAGGGCTGTCCTGGGGCCCAGTGAAGCCCCGCAGCCCTGAGCTAGACACCTGGCGCGGCACAGCCCCACATCAGCCCCTTGGGGACACTCACACTGATAGTGCTGTAATAACCGGTGAGTCCGCACATCCCACACCTTCACTGTGTTGTCCATGCCGGCAGCAGCGATGCACGTACCACTGGGGTGGAAGTCCACGTAGGTGACAAAGCTGGAAAGAGGGGGCCACCGAATGCTGCAGGAGGTCTCACCTGACTCAGAACAGACTCCAAAACGTCCAGCACTTCCCCATGCCCGCACATCTGCTCATGCCATTCCCTCAGCGCAGAACACCTCCTTGCTGCCCTGTGTCTTTATTGGGCGGTCAAGGGAAGGCAGAAAGGAGAAAGAGGGTGAGGAAAGAGCTAGGAGTGACCTGAGGGGGACTTCCAGAAGCAAGTGTCAGCACAAACCTCTAAATGTGAGCAGAGACACTGCTCTTCAGACCAAAGGTCAGCCAGCTGCTTGCAGGCTTTCAGTCAGAGCCGGTGCCCCCACCTGAGCCAGAGGCCGGGCAGGCCCTGACAACTGAGGCCCAGATAGGAGGGGCCAGCAGGTTCCAGATCCTCTGCTCACCTATTCCTAGGAGACAAGCCTAGGGCCCTCAATAGACTCATATGTGACACCCAGGATGGTACTGTGGCCTCAGGAAGGGCCCTGACGTGGGGGTCTCAGCTTACTGGGGGCAGAAGCTGGGTTCATTCGGGGACCCAGATCAGGTGAGTTCCTGCTCAAACACAGGCTCCTCTCTCAGTGATGCCACACAATACAAACAGCCACCATCTGCCACAAGAACCTGAATAGCCTTTCATTTATAAAGTTGTCACCAAGGAGAACATACTAACATCCTTTTGGGGGTCTGGGTTCAACTTCTTCAGACAGACGTGTCACAATTCTGAGAACTAGAAAATGAAGGGAAGAGAGAGCCCCAAGAGTTTCATGCCTTGAGGTTAAGCCTCTTATTGTTCATGGGGATGGGAATGAGGCAGAACCTTTCTCCCTCTCTCTCTCTCTCTCACACACACACACACAAACAAAAAGATGCAGAGCCAGGGAACAGCAGAGACATGGCTGTGGGCCCCAAATGCCACCACCAGAGGCCCCTAAGGCCTTTTCATGCCCTAGTCTGTGCTGTTCCCCAGGGCCTACAGGTGGTGGAGAGGATCTAGGAACTTACCCGCCATGCTCACAGTACGAGTGGATACACTCCCGGCTGGTCTTGTCCCACAGTTTGACAGTTTTGTCATCACTGGCGGATACGATGAGCCGCCCATCCGGGGAGAACCTGAACCGGGGTGACAGGAGACACAACACCAATCAACAGACATCACAGGCACCACATACCGCCTTCCAGTCACTCTTCTTGAGCTGCCCAGCACAGGAATGCACTGGGGCCACACACCCTGCTCTGACCCTGAGTGATCCAGGGCAAATGCTCTTTTCTCTGCAAGATGGGCCAGAAGGGTGCCCACCTTCTGGTGAGCAGGTAAGACGTCACCCCCAAGGGGTGACCAACACTGCACAAGGCAACATGTATGCTGACTCTGGTGTTGTAGCATCAAAGTGGCCCAAAGCTCACTATGGACATCGTTATCCTGTCCCTAGATGCCCTGAGTCCACATGTGACTCTGAGAACAGGTCAGCAAAACCAGATGCCAACCAAAAAGGATCGAGGTTCTGGAGACCCACCACCAAAGGCCTGGCATGAGTTCAACACTCAACTGCTGGCTGGGCTCCTCCTACTCTCAGGAGCTCAACGGTGAGGGCCTCTCGCAACAGCCAGGGACCTCCCAGGACAGAGAACCGAGTGTCCTAGAGAACAAGCAACTTCATGGGGTCCCCAGAAGAGCACAGGTCAACAGTCCCAATCTCTGACTCCCTGGTTTCCTGGTGTCCCCAGACACCCCAACCTCTTCCTCTGGAGCACAGAGATTTGACACGTGAGATCTGTTGAAATAAACAGAATAAACCAGAAGTAGGCACAGCTGTGTCTGCAGCTTTTAGGCCTTTAAAAGTACTTTCATAACCTGGCCTCACCCCCACAGTACTGGCCCCCGTACCAAAAGGAAAACTAGCTTCCAGACCAATCCCATCAGAAGCCTGGGCCCCCATTAGGCAGCTCTGGAGCAAAACCCACCTCCGGGGAGCAGAGCATCCAAGAGCTAAGGAGGCAAGCCTCAGTGCCAGGGACCTAGCTTCTAAGCCCACCTCTGCCACTTACTCTCTGTGTTGAAGGGCAAGATACTGCACTGCTCTGAACCTCAGGTTCCTCATCTGCAAAATGGCAACAAAGCCACCAACTTGCAAGACTGCCATGAGGAGTTAGAAGAAAATGTCTAGACATGGTATGACGTTATCTTGTTGTTGTTGCTATTGCTAATAAGTGGCCCCTGATGACCCACTTTGGGCTGCGTCAGCACAGATGTAGGGGGTCGACTGTGGCCAGCAACTGGCTAACTTATCCCTCATGCATTAGCTCGGTGAAACTTTGACAGCTTACAATGTGAGAACTATTAATGTTCTTATTCACAGATAAGGATGCGGAGGCTCGGGAAAAGTAAAGAGTGACTAAGTAACTTGTTCAAGGTCAGGATGATGGCACCTGGCATCTTTTCTGTACCCCCAACCCCTGGGGTCTCTCCAACAATCTCCAGGTAGAATTATACTCACTTGGCACAGCGGACCCAGTTGATATGCTGGCTCAGGGAGAACAGGAATTTCTGGCGATGAGTTGACCACACCTTGACTGTCTTGTCGTCGGAGGCTGTCACGAAGGACTGGCCATCGCTGCAGAAATGGACACTCCTCACTGTGGCTGTGTGTGCACGAAACACAGTTGACTCGCCTTTGCTGCAAGGATGGGTATCTAGAGTCAGGAAATCCATAAACCCATAACAGCAACGTAAGGGCACACCAAAGCTCTCCCCACTCCTCAGGACCCTCCCAAAGTCAATCCAGGCCTGAGTACCCCAGTCCCCAAAAAGGGAATCAACAGCCTCCCCCACAGGAGCAGAACCCCTGCCCACCACACCCACGTGCAAGCAGCATCAGGTGGGATTCTCCCAAGATGGCTGGGGTCAGCCCAGAATCTCCCTGCTGACCCTGAGGGGAGGGCCCTGACTGAAGCCCCAGTTTCTAACGGCACCCCCTCGGAAGTGAGGCAGAGGTCCTACTGTGACCAGTTCAGCACCAGGGCCAAGACTCAGATAAGCCCCTTCACATCTTTAACTCACACGTTGGGTACCCATATGCGGACAGTCTTGTCACGGGAGCCAGAAGCAAGCAGGTGTCCCGAAGGGGAAAAGTTCACACAGGTTACGGCGTCCTTGTGGCCAGCAAACCGGTAGGCACGTGACTGGGGCTTCATGTGCCACACCATAAGGCACGAGTCCATGGAGCCACTGGCTGAGGAGACAGCAGACACATGACCCTCAGCTCGAGCAGGCTGGAGCCTCCACCAGGAGCTGGGGCAGGGTGGGCAGCAGGGAAACTCAGTGTCACAGCCAGCTCCACCTTCCCCGTCTTCACAGTCACACCTCCAGTGACTGCTGAGCGGGGGTGTGGAGAGCCTATGGCCTGTTGACTCTCCAGGCAGCAGGTCCACACAGGAACCAGCCCAAGAGAAGCCCATCACAAGCCAGCCCTGGGCTGCAAAGGTCCCAGGTCTCCCCAGAGACACACTCGGACGCTCTAGAGAGCAAGTCCTCCTAAAACTGGAGAGCCAGCTCAACCCAGTGGGCTCGTTACCGTTAAGAGGATCCATCAGAAGGGCCCCAAAACAGACCCCAAATGACTCTGGTTTCCTTTTAACCTCCAGTGTATCATGAAACCAGCAGTCTCCGGCAGGGGACCTTGACGATGGCATGAAGAGAGAAGCTCATCCATAGAAACAAGAAAACTGCAGTCATGACAGCCATGTATGAACCCTCAAATGGCCAAGAAGGGGGCACTCAGCTGCAGCATAAGGGCAGACGGGGGAAGGGCATACCCGGCTCTGCTCCACAGCTTTCTCACTGGTGGGCATCTTCAATAAGGCGTGCCCATGGCACTGTGGACAGCAGAATCAGTAACGACCCAAGGAAAGTGCTACTGTTTAGGGCCATTCTGAGGCCAGACCTCAGAGGTAGACAGGGTGTGGAGGGAAAAGCCCAGAACTAGGTCCTACTCTCAAAGGCTGTATGATCTTAAGCAAGATCCCCAACCTCTCTGAGCCTCACACTCCACGTGCAGAATGGAACTCATAAAGCCTAGTGCCCTGAGCGCTGGCTGGCTGAAGCAGGCTGTAGGTCTCGGGAAAGCACCTGAGCTATTGTGCCCTGCTCCCCCCATGCCACACCTCCCAGGTAGAAACTTGACCTTCTCAGTCCAAGATGTCTCCTCTTACCCAGCTGCTTTGTGTTGAGACTGAAGTCCACAGAGGTGACTGCATCTCGATGGCCCTTAAAATGCCTCTCCAGCGAGGGGTCCTCCTGAGGGAGAGCCAGGGTCAAATGTGTGAAGCCTGGATGAGGAAGGGGCTTCCCTAGGTCCAAAACACTTCCTAGAACAACCAGGAGGGTTTAAAAATGCTCAAGGTACGATCCTTTATATAGGAAAATTCTAAGGAATCACTAAAAGACTATTATAATAAACAAGTTCAGCAAGGTTACAGGATACAAAATAGACAAAAATCAAGTTTATCAACAATGAACACTGTGAAAAATAAAAGTATGAAAACAATTTCATTTATGATACATAAAGAAAAAACTTAGGAATAACTTAACAAAAGATGTGCAAACACAGTGAGAACTAAAAAAAAATCACTGAAAAAAGTAGGAGGAGACCTAGATAAGAGGTTCCAGTTCAAGACAGAGTAAAAGTCTGTGTGCTCATCTCCTGCAGGAACACCAAAATCACAACTAGCTGTTGAACAATGATCGACAGGAGGATGCTGGAACCTACCAGAAAAGGTATCCCACACTCAGAGACAAAGAAGCCAAGACTCAGAAAAGGAGCAATGACACCACAGGAGACTGAACCAAAACTATCTGCTAGTGTTGGAGGGCCTCAGGAGGAGCACACCACAGGGACTGGGGCACTGGAAGCAGCAGTCTGGGAAGGTTCCCCTTGGGGTAAAGCCTCTTGGAGGTCACCATTAACTTGATTATAGACCCCAGGGCTGGGTCCCCTCAGGCCAAACATCCAGCAGGGAAGGAGCACAAACCCACCCATCAGCAGGTAATAGGATTACAAAGCTTTACTAAGCAAGGCCCTGCCCACCAAAGCAAGACCCAGTTTTTCCCATCACCAGTCCCTCCCATCAGGAAGCTTACACAAGCCTCTTAGCCTCCACCATTAGAGGGCAGACAGAAGCAAGAAGAAGCACAGTCCCACAGTAACTAAAACAAAACCCACATTACAGAAAGTTAATCACGATGAAAAAGCAGAAAGGTATGTCCCAGGTGAAGGGACAAGACAAAACCCCAGAAAAACAACTAAATGCAGTGGAGACAGGCAACCTTACAGAAAAAGAAATCAGAATAATGACAGTAAAGATGATTCAGGATCTCGGGAAAAGAATGGAGGCAAAGATTAAGAAGATCCAAGAAATGTTTGCCAAAGAAGTAGAAGAACTAAAGAACAGACAGAGATGCATAATACACTGGAAGGAATCAATTGCAGAATAAATGACGCAGAAGAACCGATAAATGATCTGAGGACAGAATGGTGGAAATCACTGTCACAGAACACAATACAGAAACAAGAATGAAAAGAAAGGCAACCTAAGAGACCTCTGGGACAACATTAAATGCACGAACATTTGCATTATAGGAATCCCAGAAGGAGAAGAGAGAAAGGACCTGAGAAATTATTTGAAGAGAGATTATCTAAAGACTTTCCTAACATGGCCAAGGAAATAGTCAACCAAGTCTAGGAAGCACAGAGAGTCCCAGGCAGGAGAAACCCAAGGAGGAACACACCAAGACACATAGTAATCAAATGCACCAACCAAAAGACACAGACTGGCTGGGTGGATGAAAACAAGGGTATGTATGCACTTCCATTTACCACATCACTCTGCTTGACCAACACCCCCGCCACAAACGCTAAGTAATTATTTTATATTGTTAAGTTAATCATGTTCCCATATGGCTTGCAACTGTAATTATCATTTGTTTTTGTCGGGCTATTGATGGTGAAAACTCATAAACAGCTTTCACTAATGTGATTATGTAATGATTACTCACGTAATACCATTGTATCATGACTGGTCAGCAGAAAAATAATAGAACTCTACCAGCAAATTAGGATCTAATAGAAAAACCTGTCAAGTCCACTTTTTAAAATCCAGATGCATATCAGAATTACTTTGAAATTTTTTGAAAAACACAAATGCTCAGGTAGTGCTTTTTCTCTCCAGAACTCCAGATGTTTCTAATGAGCAGTCATGTTTAAAAATAACTGGACTATATGACTGTGTTTTGTCAGTTTTCATTCCAATTCCAAAGACAGGCAATGCCAAAGAATGTTCAAACTACCACACAATTGCACTCATCTCACATGCTAGCTAAGTAATGCTCCAAATTCTCCAAGCCAGGCTTCAACAGTACATGAACCATGAATTTCCAGATGTTCAAGCTGCATTTAGAAAAGGCAGAGGAACCAGAGATCAAATTGCCAACATCCACTGGATCATAGAAAAAGCAACAGAATTCCAGGAAAACATCTACTTCTACTTTATTGATTACGTGAAAGATTTTGACTGTGTAGATCACAGCAAACTGTGTTTCAAGAGATGGGAATACCAGACCACCTTACCTACCTCCTGACAAATCTGTATGTAGGTCAAGAATGAACAGTTAGAACCGAACATGGAACAACAGACTGGTTCCAAACTGGGAAACGAGTATGTCAAGGCTGTATACTGTCACCCTGCCGATTTAACTGATATGCAGAGTACATCATGTGACATGTCAAACTTGATGAAGCACAAGCTGGAATCAAGACTGCAGGGAGAAATATCAATAACCTCAGATACACGGATGACACCACCCTTATGGCAGAAAGTGAAGAACTAAAGAGCCTCTTGATGAAAGTGAAAGAGGAAGTGAAAAAGCTGGCTTAAAACTCAACATTCAAAAAAACAAAGATCATGGCATCCATTTCCATCACTTCATGGCAAATGGGAAAACAACGGAAACAATGACAGACTATTTTCTTGGGCTCCAAAATCACTGTAGGTGGTGACTGCAGTCATGAAATTAAAAGACGCTTGTTCCTTAGAAGAAAACCTATGACCAACCTAGACAGCATTTTAAAAAGCAGAGACATTACTTTGCTGACAAAAGTCTGTCTAGTCAAAGCTATGGTTTTTCCAGTAGTCATGTATGGATGTGAGAGCTGGGCCATAAAGAAAGCTGAGCACTGAAGAATCGATGCTTTTGAACTGTGGTGTTGGAGAAGACTCTTCAGAGTCCCTTGGACTGCAAGGATATCCAACCAGTCAAGCCTAAAGGAAATCAGTCCTGAATATTCATTGGAAGGACTGAATCTGAAGTTGAAACTCAAATACTTTGGTCACCTGATGCGAAGAACTAACTCCTTGGAAAAGACCCTGATGCTGGGAAAGATTGAGGGCAGGAGGAAAAGTGGATGACACAGGATAAGGTGGTTGCATGGCATCACCAACTTGATGGACATGAGTTTGAGCAAGCTCCAGGAGTTAGTGATGGACAGAGAAGCCTGGCGTGCTGCAGTCCATGGGGTCGCAAAGAGTCGGACACAACTGAACTGAACTATATGATGATCTACTATTTCTATATGGTTTGTCTCACTTTTCTATTTCATATTCAGTGCTCCCATTTCATTCAGTTTATGTTCTCCAATTTCTCCATCTCTCTTTTTTTTTGATGTTCTTTCTGAAGCCTTTATCAAGTATAGTGAAAATCTTTCGTATACATATATATACATACAAATGCATAATATGTATAGAAGAAAATTTATGAATTTTTTCTAGTTTGTTTTACTTATTCTATTTCATATTCAGTTGCTCCCATGTCATTTAGTTTATGTTTTCCAATTTTTCCAACTCTTTCATTTTTTGATGTTTTTCTCAAGCCTTTGTCAAGTTATCAGGTGTAGTAGAAAAGCTCTTGTATACATATAATAAATAACACATATATATGTTTTAGAAAACTTAGGAATTTTTGCCTAACTAAAAAATTTATGACATTTTGATTCCACTTGTTTGACTTAGTATGAAACGTAATGCAATGTATCTAATTTTTTAAAAAGATATGCAACAAGCAACAAAGGTTTATTGTATAGCATTCTACAGGGAATTATAATCAATATTTTGTAATAACATAAAAATAATTTCAAAAATAGTATGTGTATATGTATAACTAAATCACAAAAAAAAATTCTATTTTTTAAATAGAGCGCTATCTGTCTGCAGCGCCCCGCCCTCCCCGTAGCAGGACTGAACTGAACTAGAGAACCTAAATAAGAGATCACCTCCGCCCGCCTGTGTCAGGGCGGAAATTAGACACCAAAGAGACGGCAAACAGAAGCCAAATAAACAAAGGGAACCGCTTCAGAAAGGACCGGTGCAACAGATTAAAATCCCTGAAGGTAACACCGACTACACGGGAAGGGGCCTACAGATATCGAGAAGTGTAAGCTGGAAAGAGGAGCTATCTGAAATTGAACTGAACCTACGCTGACCGCAACAACCTCAGAGAAATTCCTAGATATATATGTACATTTTTTTTTT